AAATATTCACACCTGCACCTGCCTTCAAGAAGTGTGTTCCAGAGATTTTGTGGGAACACACGGAGGCCCAAGCTCCGCCTGCAGGTTTCTGCACCACCCCCTTGTCCCTCTTATGACACCGAGGGCTCTGTCAGGCCCACCAACCCCCATCTGGTTCCACGGGCCCCAGCGCTCACCCTCCTCACACCAGGAGCTGGGTTCTGGGTCAGAGCGAACTCGGGTAGCTTCAAAACCTCTGACCCAGCAACGCAGCTCAATGCCAGGACCAGGGCGCTCCAGCCTCCCTTTATGGGACAGCCTGGCTTGGCAGGGCAGGTGGCGAGGAATCTGGGGGCATAGTTCTAACCTAACCCTGAAGCTGGAGAACCTCCCGCCCCGGGATCATCCTCAGCCAGGGAGGTCAGGACAGAGTTTGGCTCAGACGGCGGGAAAACCCTTAAAAAACCTGTTCACTCTGCCAGAATAATTAACCCACAAAACATAGGAGGAACTCTCCGTCAATGTAAAGTTTTAAAATAACTTCTAAATCAGATCTAGGAGCCCTGGTGGCGCAGTGGTTAAGAGCTCGGCTGCTAACCAAAAGGTTGGTAGTTGCAACCCAGCAGCCGCTCCTTGGAAATCCTATGGGGCAGTTCTGCTCTGTCCTACAGGGTCGCTGTGAGTCGGAATCAACTCGACATCAATGGGTTTGGTTGGTTTTGAAGTCAGACTTAAAGTTACGCGTTAAAGACTCTGTTCTAAATACACATTGTGTTATCGTGAGCACAAACCCCCGGACCAGAGGCAGCAACATGGCTCATAATCCATGTCCTCAAGCATTAACAACTGCAAGCATTTTGTACGGAGAGTAGATGGTGTACGTCAACCAGAACACACACACACACACACACACACACACACACACACACACACACACACACACACACACACACACGAAGCTCGCGCTGTCAGTAACTACGAGCCATGGCTCTGTGACACATCGGCTGTTATGCTCCGACGTGCCTCGTCGGGCTCCAGGAAGATGGGGGACCCACACCGGGCCTACCTCCTCACCCAGAAGCCTGCACAGAACAAGTGTCTGGTTCCTACCACCTAACAGAGAACTCACAACCTAAGAAAGCGCCCCCTAGCAGGGCGGCCGATGCTTCCAATCTACCAGGGCGGGCGGGCACTTGATCCCTGTCACGACCCTGCTGCCGTCCCCCCTCTGCCTGCCCTCTGTCCCTCCGCTGGCAGAGGCTGGAGCCCACAGCCGGATCCCAAAACCACAGTGCTCTCTATGAAAAAACGTCAAGATTCGTCAACACTCTCCATGCGGGTGGATGACCCGGCGGGCTGACTCTGCACCTACCACAGGCGACTAGGGCAAGGACACGCGCGACACACGCGTACACACACACAGTGCATCTGATGCACTGGGCCGAACTCTGCACACAACCATGAGGCACCACCTCTGCTGTGCTGGGTGGGGGGCCTGGCCAGCACCATGGGCAGTCCTGGGGGGGCATGACAGGGAGTCTCTGGGGGGCCAGTTCCAGGCTACCAGGGCTTAGGGCTAGTGGTGGATAGGTGGTGGGCCTGGCATCCCAGAGCCACCCCTCCCTGGGTCTAGGGTCTTCTGGAGCACCCGCTGGACCTCAGCTGCTGGTGTCAATCTACCGAACCCCTCAGAAGACTCGGGCCATTTCTCCAGGGAAGTCTTACTGCAAAGAGCCACTTGGGGCGTTAGAAGGAAAGCCCCTTGGACTCCAGTGAGGGAGGTGACTGGAACGAGACAGGCAGGGCCCAGCAGCTGCTTGCCTCTCACTGACAGAGTGGGTGGTCTGGGGCCGTGTCTCTCCCACCAGGACTCAGAAGGCCAGGACCAGGGTTACAGTGTCCCCGCCTGCCATAATCCACTTGGCTCACTCACAAACTGCAGTCCCCACCCTCTGGGCCCAGGCAGGGGTTCAGGAATGTCCCTGAGTGGACCCTGCCCCCCAAGGAGATGTGCGAGAGGGAGGGCTGGAGTCCAGCCTGCCATAAAGAAGGAAGGAAGGGTGCCCTGGCCTTTTCTGCCACCGGTCCCATGGTCATGGGTGACTCTGATCTACATCAGTATGGACCTCAATGCCCCCGAGCAGATGGTCCTCCATCAAAGGAAAGACAAGGAAGGTTCTGGTGGCCAGATGTCTCACCTCTGTGTTTGTACATTTCAACTAAAAAGTGAACATGGGTTCAAGCAATGAGAGATGATGTGAGGATCAGAAGCTGCCTTATGTTATCAGTAACCTGAGGGCTCAACATGCCCCTATCCCTTACCGACCTGCTTCCTCGGCCAGAGCCAACCCACCCAGCTCCAGCATCTGTCTCCAAATGACACTTCCTGAGAGAGGCCTGCAGCTCTCATCAGTACGCTGATTTTCCTACTGCGGACGATGAGGAGGGTAATGATGATGATGGTGATGGTATAATGGTGGTGGTGATGATGGTGATGCTGATGATGGTGATGGGATGATGATGGTGGTGATGATGATGGTGATGTTGACGATGGTGGTGATGATGATGGTGATGTTGACGATGGTGGCGATGGGATGATGTTGGTGATAATGATGGTGATGTTGACGATGGTGGTGATGATGGTGATGTTGACGATGGTGGTGATGGGATGATGACGGGATGATGATGGTGATGTTGACAGTGGTGGTGATGGGATGATGATGGTGATGTTGACGGTGGTGGTGATGGCATGATGATGATGATGACGATGATGTTGATGATGATGGTGATGATAATGGTGGTAGTGATGGTGATGATGGTGATGGTATTACGATGGTAGTGATGATGTTAGTGATGGTGATGGTGGTGGTAATGATGGTGATGGGGATGGTGGTGATGGTAGTGATGACGGTGGTGATAATGATGATAATGGTCATGGTGGTGGTTAGGATGGTGATAATGGTGATGGTAGTGATGCTGGTGTTGATAATGATGGTGATAACGGTGGTGGTGGTGGTGGTGTGATAATGATGGTGGTGATGGTGGTGGTGGTGGTGGTGAAGATGATTACATCAGGGCACATCGGGAATCACAGTGTCGGCAGGCACCACTCTTGCCCACTCCTTCCAACACTAAAACAAACCCCCTACCTTTTTCCGCAGTGCACTTAAACCAAGCCTGGTTTAGTCCACTGTAAAATTAAGCAAGTTTAAAAACTAGATTAACAATTTTAAAAGCAAGGTATTAAACAAAGGATCGTTTTTACAATCATTGACATATACTGCAAAAATAACACAGCCTAATACAATTACCTTAGCAAGGCCAGGCGATGATTTAAAGCTGGCAAAAAAAAAAAAAAAAAAAAAAAGAATCTTACTTTGCAATTCATCCTTAAGATCTACAGGACGTTTAAAACACTGGATTAAGAAAGTACTAAAATTCTGTACTCTGAAAATAAGCAGGCGATTCTGCACAAAGACATCCCTCATCTTAAAATAAATTACTATTATTTTTTGCATTTACTAAACTATGGGAAGTAAAACCAGAAATTAATTCTTATATGGATCCAAATACCACTTCTATGGACCAGGTGAGATTCTCAGTGAGGACAAGCCTACGCCTTGCTCTGAGTAGGTCCATGTGGAAATGGTATGTGGATTGCACAGCCTCCAGCAAAATCCGGGTGAAAAGTGCATTTTCTTCACGCAAGTGGGAATGCTGGATACTGCCCTCTGCAACAGCTAACGTGTTTCTACATGCATCCTGCACTGCAAACATCTGCTCTCAACACCCGCTGCTCCATGCTCATGGCTCAAGCCACACCCTCAGCCCTCGTGGTCACGGCTTTGACACCCAAGAAGCCAGAAGAGTTCAAGACTCCACCACCAGGGACACTGATGAGAAGCTCTTGCAGGTGGAATGATTCTCATCCCTCTGTGTAATGCAGGGACGTACAAGAATGAGACCTAATGGGGCTCTGAAGACTAAACCTCGTCAATAAAGCTGAAAGAAGCAAGAGTCAAACAGTGTTTGCCAAGAACCTTTGCTTTAAAGCTAACTGTCCAGACACAGTAAGTTCCAACAGCCAATACCATATTTTCAGGATGAGTGTTTCATGATCTCACTGAACAGATACATCTAGGTTATTTTCCCAGTCCTCTACTTGCTCCCAATATTATTTTCAAAAAAAGGACAAAGCAAGCATTTCTCATTGGCTGGTGATGTGGTCTCTTATTTCGTCCCCACTTTGGCAGTGACATTATTTAAAGGTGCTACGAAGACCCTAGCTTGGGTGAGTTGGCTGGTCCCTGTTTCCCATCAGGCGACTGGCCACAGCCTTGGGCCTCGATCATGCTGCTTCAGGCCCTGCGGGACCAGCAGGCCAGGGCTCTGCCTGGGCTCTGAGGAGCCTGTGATTTCTGTGTCTTTGAGACAAGCCAGGAACCAGGAAACTCAATGGCCCAATGTCACATAGGAACAGATGTCCTGACATGCTGGCCATTGACCGACAAGCCCAAACCTCATGCCCACCCGCTGCTGTGGCTGTGCTAGGGGATGCCAGTTAAGACATTCAGAATATGAGTGAAGGGTGGGGCTGGTGGGGGGAGTGAAAATGGAATGCGGAATGGTGCAGCCAGGTCAAGGAAAGCTGGAGTCTTTGTTTACTGCATTTTTCAAGTAGGCCAGAGTCCCCACCCTCACAGGAGGCAGGAGCTGGAGGAGGGCTCGCCTGTGGGGGATGGAGCAGGGGACAAGGCGTCTCCCCAGGGAGGGGCCACTTTCCTGGGGCCACATTCATCTCCATCCACCCACCTGGGACCTTCATCCAGAGCTGGGGGGAGGAGGACGGGGCGACAGGGTGCTGAGATCAAGGTAGGCCCAAATCTTCGGGACCATGGCCACCTCCACCTGCTACCACACCTAGGGTGACCCCAATTCTGGCCTAAGTGGGTCCAGGGAGGTCGCCCCTGAGCGGTGGGCACCTGGACCTGTGTCACAGCTAACGCTAAGGCTTTCACCGTCCCGGTCTGATGTGGGGGACCCCAGAGCTGCTTGCTTGAAGTGCTGCTGTTCCCCAGCTCGGGCTAAAACCCCCCATCTGGGAGTGGGGTGGGGGTAGCTGAGGTCTGCGCTGGCTTTGAGGAAGGGGCCTCCTGCCTCCTGACATTTGCTTGGCACAGAACACAGGGTGGAGGGAGAGTGGGGTGAGGTCACCGGCCCCAGGGAGAAAATATGCTAACGAGGGGGACAGAAGCCCCTCCTCGGTCCTCCACGCCTGTCTATAAACAAACACCGCGGCTCCACGCCTCTGTCACCAGCAGTCGGTGGGGAAGAACACACGCACCGCGAATTAGCCAAGGTTTCCACAGGAAACAGTCATGGTGACTGCCCGGAAGCCCACGGCCTGCCCGCCGCCCAGCTCCACCTGTACTGAGTTCCATCCCCTCAGCCGGGGGTCAGGAGATGGTCACGGGAAGGTGCGCACACAGCAGGCCCCCGTCATTGCTCGACTCCGCTGGGCGCGGGCAGGACGTGCCAACGGGCCCGCCCGGTGTCTGGCAAGTCTGAGCAACCGGCCTAAGTCTCTTCCATACAGGTTAGACCAAACGGCCATATCTGAGATGCCCAGGACTCGAGAGCAGCAAGTTAAGAAACAAGAACTCCGATATGGGAATGGCGGGTAATACGAGAATGACAATAAAGATATTTGGCATAATTCTTCCAGATACACTCGATTCAAACCCAGCTCATTCTTAGAGAGGCAAAGACTCAGGACTCCTAGACCCACCCACTCCGGACGCAGGTTGAGCAGCAGGAGGGGGGCGGGACTGACACAATCCCCCTGGGACAGCGGGCCACTCCCACACCCTCTACATGTACCGGATGGAAGCCGAGGGGACAAAACACCCCAAGGCCGTAAACTGGAGCTGGTTACCCAGGGAGACCCGGGAGCCGTCCATGATTGCCTTGTTAGTTTTAAAAAGCGCAGCCTGCACGTTTTCACAATTCACAACAGTGGAGGCTGGACACTCAGGGAAGAACAGGTACCAAATGGAGTCTCAGTCACAGCTCTAGGGCAGATGTTACATTTTCACAGGACGACGATGAAGACACTGATAGGTTGTGCATGGCGGGCGCTGTGCACGCGGCCTCACAGCACCGTAGCCTGCACGACAATCTCCGGGTTCTCGATGTCCCTCTTGCTCTGCACCATCCTGAGCTCCAGCTGGGCTGAGCTGGGCTTCTGCCCCTTCCCAGCCTGGGCTGCAAGAACAGGCAAAGCAATGATGGCAGGGCGCGGGCCACAGAGCCGGCATCACTATCTCTCCGCCCTCCCTTGCCCGTCCAAGCCCCCTGCACCACCCAGGAGCTCCTGCTGCATCCCCACTGTTCCCCAGCCCTCAGGGCATGGCGGCCCATGCACAGCAGGAGAGCCTGTTCACACCCCTCCTCCCGCCCCCTGTCCGATATTCCCAGCCGTGCGCCCGCTTCCCCTAGGAGTACCTTTTGCGCACTGGATGGTCCTCTGCAGGACGTGGTGCATGGCAGACACGGTCTTCTCACACGCCACCTGCAGAGGACAGAGACCTGTGTCCTTGCTCATGGGGGAGGGGGCCTCACCTGCTCCTGGCAGCCCTCCAGCTGCCCTGCAGGCGGTTCTGCTGATGCAAACTCTGGCGCGTGGGCTCCACATCAGAGAGGACGCCGAGCCGCCACACGCGCCCCGGATGTCCACGGGTCGCAGGAACGTCTCTGCACCTTCCAGGAGAGGGGTGAGGGCCCCGTTTAAGCCCTTCAGTGTACAAACTCAGATCTGCTTTATCCCCATGCAAATGTGCTCACAGGCAGTTACATACTGTTCTGGGTTGAACTGTGTCCCCCTCCAAATTGTGTGTTGTAAATCCTAACTTCTATGCCTGTGGTTATAATCCCATTTGGGAATGTGGTGTCTTTGTTATATAAATGAGGCAGGATAGGTATAGGGTGTATCTTGAGTCAATCTCTTGTGAGATATAAAAGAGATTAAACAAGCAAGTGAGTAAGAAACTCCGCCCCTCCCAAACCCATTGCCATTGAGTCTATTCTGACTCACAGTGACCCTATAGTACAGAGTACAACTGCCCCATAGAGTTTCCAAGGAGCGGCTAGTGGATTTGAACTGCCAACCTTTTGGCTAGCAGCCAAGTTCTTAACCACTGCACCACCAGGGCTCCAAGCGAGTAAGAGAGCTGGGGGAAGATAGATGCCAAGCCACATGGAGATCTCCAAGGAACCAGGAAGCAGAAGCTGAAGAGACAAGGACCTTCCTCCAGAGCAGACAGAGAGAGAAAGCCTCCTCCTAAAGCCGGCGCCCTGAATTCAGACTTCTAGCCTCCTCAACTGTGAGAGAATAAATTTCTGTTTGTTAAAGCCATCCACTGTGGTATTTCTATCACGGCAGCACTAGAGAACTAAGACGTATACCAAACAGATGGGGACATACACCCCAACAACTCACAGTAAGAGCTGAATGCTCCCCAGCCAGACATGGCCTGGTCCACTGGTTTACAGCCTACTACAAAAACCCCAAGAGAGCGGGGCAGGTGCCTATGTATGAGAGGAATTGCCTCCGCCCTGACTACAGACAACTGTGGGAAAGGCTGTCTCAAGACCTTTGTCATTATTGCCTGGCAGGTAACCTTTAACCCTTTAACCAGTTGCCGTCAAGTCATTCCAACTCATGGTGACCCCATGGGTGTCAGAGTAGAACTGTGCTCCACGGGGTTTTCAATGGCTGGTTTTTGGAATGTAACTCGCCAAGCCTTTCTTCTGAGGTACTTCTGGGTAGACTGCAACCTCCAACAACCCTTCTGGTTAACAGCCAAATGCATTAACTAATGGCGCCACCCAGGGGCTCTACCTGGCATGCAGTGGGTGGTCAATAAGCGTTCCTGGAATGAACTGATCATCAGAATCTTTTGGGGGAAGTGTGTTGCTAGCTGACATCACAAAGTCAGAGTTGGGCTGCTCACTGAGGGGTGGGGGCTGTAGAAGCTACGGCCACCCCTACAAACGTCATGACCCCAAGGCTGGGCTAGATCCGGGATGGGGCCTCCTTGGGGCAGCACTTTGCAAGTGTCATGGATTGAATTGTGCCTCCCCCCCACCAAATATCTGTCAGCTTGGCTGGGTCATGATTCCCAGTATCGTATGACTATGTATACCATTTTGTCATCTGATGTGATTTCCTTATGTGTTGTAAACTCTATCACTATGATGTAATAAGATGGATTAGTGGTATTTATACTGATGAGGTCTACAAGATTGGATAGCATCTTAAGCCAATCTCTTTGAGATATAAAAGAGAGAAGCGAGCAGGGACACACGGGAACTTCATACCACCAAGAAAGCAGTGCCTGGAGCAGAACGTGTCCTTTGGAACTGAGGTTCCTGCGCAGAGAAGCTCCCAGACCAAGGGAAGACTGATGACAAAGACCTTCCCCCAGAGCTGACAGACAAAGCCTTCCCCAGGAGCTGACACCCTGAATTTGGACTTGTAGCCTACTGGACTGTGAGAGAATAAACTTCTCTTTGTTAAAGCCATCCACTTGTGGTATTTCTCTTACAGCAGCACTAGATGACTAAGACAGCAAATTTCCACTCTCTGTACCAAACGGACCTCCGACTGCTGCCAGTTAACCCAGCTGTGTGCCGTGTGTGCCTGCTGACCTGTCACGGGAGCACCTCTGCGCCTTGCAGGGGAGAGGTGAACGGCCAGCCTAAGCCCTTCACTGCACAAACTCGCATATGCTTCATTCCCATCGTTACGGACTAAACCGTGTACCCCCCCAAAAATACATGTTGTAACTCCTAAGCTCTATGCCTGTGGCTAGGAGCCTTGGTGGCACAGTGGTTAAAGCGACTGGCTGCTAACTGAAAGGTCAGCGGTTCGAAACCACCAGTGGCTCCTTGGGAGAAAGATGTGACCGTCTGCTTCCGAAGACATTTACAGTCTTGGAAACCCTGTGGGGTCGCTATGAGTCAGAATCGATTTGAGAGAAGGCGGTGGTTTGGTTTGGTATGCCTGTGGTTATAATCCCATGTGGGAATGGGTGGTCTTTGTTATGTTAAAGAGGCAGGATTAGTGTAGGGTGTGTTTTCAGTTAATGTCTTACAAGATATAAAAGGAGCCGAATAAGGAGGCAGAGATAGGGGAAGAGAGATGCCAAGTCACGTGGAGATCCTCCAGGAGCAGAAGCGCAAAGAGACAAGGACCTCCCTCCAGGGCCGACAGAGAGAGAAAGCCTTCCCCTAGAGCAGGCACCCTGAATTTGGACTTCTAGCCTCCTAAATTGTGAGCAAATAGATTTGTTTGTTAAACTACCACCCATGTGTGGTATTTCTGTTACAGCAGCACTACATAACTAAGACACCCGCGCAGATGCATTCACGGCCAGTTACACACCAAACGGGGGGATGGACACCCCAACAACCCACAGTAATAGCTGAATCCCCAACACGGTCTAATGGATACACGTCCACCCACCACCTTCACCTCGACCTCAGCCCTCCAAGGCAGCCTAGCCCTTTGCTCGTCTCCTTCTGTAAAAGAGGCTTATGAGGTCATCGCAGCGACTACGTTAGCAGACCAAACACACACACGGTGATCTCCACAAGACGCCCAGGTGGCCTTGACGGGCAGGATGGCTCACAACCCACTTCCTGGAGCTAAGAACCGGTCAGTTTTCACAGGACTTGGATTCTCCCCTGGATCACACCTGCCCGAGTCCAGAGTCTCCCACACGACCCCGCAGCCCAGGGGTGGGCACTCTGGTGGCCCGCCTTCACAGGTGAGGAAAGAGGGTGGAGGGGAGGCAGTGGGCTGTGGGCCAGACTTGAACTCTGGAGCTCCCGGCCCCCTGCCCGCCCCTCCCCGGCATCAGGGCGGAAGCTGAACCAGCACTGAGATGCTGGGGCGGCCAGGCTTGCTGTCCTCCTCCCCTTTGCAACTTCATGACCAGGGACAGCTGCATGACTGGGGAGTGGTGCACCACGCTGACCTTGAGATTGTTGGGGTGCTTGTGTGTCCAGGCCAGAAGCATGGCGGCGAAGAGGTCCCCGGTGCCCACGAAGACGGCATCCACCTTGTGCATCTCCACCCGGATCCGCTCTGTCACCGTGGAGCCGTCGGGCTGCCCTGGGGATGCAGAGGAGAAGGTCCGCTGATACCTGAGGCTCCAGCTCACGGCTGCCCTGCCCAGCACCGCTCCTCCCCTCCATGGAAGCAGGAGGGGGTGTTCACAGTGACAAAGCATGGGGCAGCCTCTTCCAGGGGCCCAGGACCCAGAGAGTTCCAGGGAGCCCCCATTTACCCCCAGCTCTGCCCCTTTCCCAAGGGAAAACATGAAAGACCAGGTTATGGGTTGAGTTGTGTATCCCAAAAACCTATGCTGAAATCCAATCTCCTGTATCTGTGAAGGCGACCCTGTTTGGGAATAGTCTTCCTTTGGTATATTAATATGTCAGACCGGATTAGGGTGGATCCTAAACCCAATCCCCCCGTGGGGAAGCGGGGACAGAAGCCACTGAGGGTCCGACTGCAAGCCCAGGAACACCAAGGATCACCAGCAGTCACCAGAAACTGGGACAGAGACCCACAGAGGGAGACGACATGGCCGACGCCCGGTTTGGAACTTCTAGCCCCCAGGGCTGTGAGAAAATAAATTTCTGTTCTTCAAACTCACCCCCTTGTGGTATATTTTGTAAATGCAACACTAAGTAACTAAGACAGACTAGAACCCTGGAGGGCCACACAGTCAGGGGAAGACCTGCGTGGGGGAGACACTGTGCAGCTAAGCACCACACATGCAATGTGACATGCAGGGAGGCCCATGACATGCGGGAAAATCACAGGGGCATGTGGAGCTGTAGGATGCTGTCTGGGAGTACTCGAACATGAGCGTTCGTGTATGCGCTCGTGCGTGTGTGTGTGTGTGTGTGTGTGTGTGTGCATGTGTTCTTGTGCACAGATGCGGCAGGCGGGGAGAAAAGGCCACACACAGAAGTGCAGGCAACTCTGCCCTTGGGGGACAGTGGCTACAGGACAGGCTCCCAGGTCAGCAGTTGACCCCTCAGCCTTCTGTGTTAACACTGAGCAGAGAAAATCAGTCCACAGAGTATCATACAATTTGACAATCAGCAAGAAAGGGAAATATCCTCCCAGGTCGATGGGGAGTCAGTGCCGTGAGTGACTGGGGCAGCTCGCGGCTCCCTGAGCCCGCAGGTCAAGGCCTTCACCCCGTGCTGGAGGTCACATGCTCGGGGCGGGGCTGTCAGCACCCACAGTGCTCCCCTCTCCCCATGCACAGGGGACCTCCCCGGTTCTGCTCGTAGTTGGACCTTCCCATGGGGCAGTGGAGTCAGGCCGCCTTCCTTGCAGAATCAGGCCCACCTTTCTTTGGATATCTGAGCTGTAAAACCTCCGCAAGATGACCCTCCCTTGTGGCCAAGTCGGGGGCACTCACTTATCCTCTGGCTGCCCAGCGCGATCAGGTAGTCGCTGCCCCGCGGAGATGGCAGGTCGGAGCTGGTGATGACCACAGTGTCGGGGCCCATGGAGTGCAGCACGTCCATCACCTGCTGCAGCAGGGACAGCGGTTAGCTCGGCTCCAAGCCACACCGTGCACGAACGGCAGGTCCCGGAGGATGGGAGCTGTTGGCTAAGCCCTCGGCCCTCCCTGCACCACGAGCAACCAGCACAGACACGCTCATGTGCTCCCTCAGTGCACAGGGTGCAATGAATGTGGCCCTTCTAGCCACGATCTTTGTGACTCACACACAATGACTGGGTTGTTGCTGTTAGGTGCTGTCAAGTGGTTAAGAGCTTGGCTGCTAACCTAAAGGTCAGCAGTTTGAATCCACCAGCTGCTCCTTGGAAACCCTAGGGGGCAGTTCTAGTCTGTCCTATAGGATCACTGAGTTGGAATCAACTCGATGGTAACAGGAATGATTGAGTGGGACTATGCAAATAAGGCATATAGAACCTGTGATGGTTAGGGTTGTCAACTTGCTTGGGACATGATTCCCAGTACTGTATGGTTGTCCGCCATTTTATGTGTTGTGGATCCTGACCTCTACACGTTGATGAGGCGGGATTGGTGCGGGATGCGTCTTGGGTCACAGCCTTGCAGGAGGGCACGACTCAAGTCCTACCCTTACTCAAGTTATGCCCTTCCCTGGAGTGTGGCCTGCATCCAAAGTATATATGTGGATGCCCTAGTGGGGCTCTCTCTCTCTGCATCTGGATCCCGCAACTGGTTCATGATTGACTGACCTCTGGTTCTTGGGACTTGAGTCAGAAGCTTGTTGTCTGACCTGCGGATTCTGGGATTCACTAGCCTCCGCAGCCCCATGGGCTGGTAGCCTATCATCTGACCTGATTCTCCAGCTTCCCCAGCCCTGTGAGCCTGCAGCCTGTGGTCTGAACTGCCGGTTTGGGTTTCTCAGACCCTATAGCCATGTGATGGGAGAAGCCTACACCTGACTCACGAATTTGGGACCTACCAGTCTCCACAACTATGTGAGCCATTTCCTTGATAAGGTTCGTGAGTTCTGTGGGCCATTGCAGCGAATTACAGAACCCAGAGACAGGAGGGAGAGTGCTGAGGGGAGGAGGAGTAGTTGATGTTAGGGATGACGCAGCGGGACAGTGGTTTCAAAAAGGTGGACAATTGGGACATCTTTAACCTCTACCTCATAGGTACCAGCTTTGTGCTGATCCTTATAAAAGAAATTATTCATTCAGTGCACTTTCTGGCAAAGCTGCCCTTTGCAAGCGGGACACAGGGTGTAGCTTGCTGGGATGGAGGCCGCAGAGGCTGACAACCTAGAAAACTAGCCCCTGGTCCTGGGTAGTTTTTGTCTGCCGTAACAAAGTACCACAAAGTGGGTGGCTTAAACCAACAGAAATTTATTATGTCACATTTCTGGAGGCTGTGCCCAGCCTGTGCCCTGCCGAGGAATGGCTTCTCTGGTGTGGAGGCACAGTCTTCAAGTCCCTGTGTGTGCCATCAGACTGCCAGCCCCACTCGGCACCTACCGCACCACATTCCAGAGGAAGAGTCCAAAGGCCCAGGCCTGGGCGCGGTGCCCTCCTCTGGGGCAAAAGCCACACACATCTTCCCCCATCAAGCAACAATAGCTTCCACTTCCCCTTGACTTCTAGTGAGCTGGTGCAATGGGCTCAATTGTGTCCCCCAAAAAGATATGTTGAAGTCCTAACCCCTGCATTTACGAATGTGACAGATTGGAAATAGGGTCTTTGAAGATGTATCAGTTAGCTTAACATGAGGTCGTCCTGGAGTAGAGTGGGTCCTAATCCTATATGACTGGTGTCCTCATAAAAGAGAAGAAGAGACAGAGAGAGGGAGACATCATGTGATACCGGATCTACAAGTCAAGGCCCACCTGGAGCCACCAGAAGCTGGGAGAGAGGCATGGAATAGAGCCTCCTTCAGAGTCTAAGAAGGAATCAACACTGCCAATACCCTGATCTTGGACTCCCAGACTCCAGAAATGTGAGATAATAAATTTCTGTTGGTTTAAGCCACCCACTTTGTGGTACTTTGTTACGGCAGACAAAGAAAACTAAGACAGCCATTCATTCATTCATTTGCTCAACAAACATCTACTACCATGTGCCCATCACCATCTAGGGCCAGCGCCTCTCAACGGCCTGCCTCCAACGGCATGTGCCTGGGGATAAAACACCCCCTCTGGGGCACATGGGGGCTCAGGACAGGGCCAGCTACATGGAGATGTGAAGGCGGAAGAGGGAGGGGCCCGAGGAGTGGAGGCTGGCGCTAGAGGCAGGTGTGGTCTCGCTCTTGGAGAGGGGCACCTCACCTGTCTGCGCTGTCACCACTGAGGCCCACTTTCCTGGGGTCACTCTGAGGATCTTAAAGGAGGAGGAACCATTTCCCCACAAACGACTCATGTGCTGACCTGAATTCACTTACGTGGTCTGAGAATTCCTGGTGCCCGGGACCAGTCTGGACCCCAGTCAGGACCCCACGCAGCATGACGAGTCTGCCCTCCCCTTTGTCAGCCAGTCCTTGTCTGCCAGACCAAGGCCTCAGGAGGTAACCCCAGCCAGGCAGACGGGACACGGAGCAGGAGGAACTGAGCTCTCTCTAGGTGGGCTTTTCTCTAACATGCTATTGTGAGGGTCCTCTCCTCATCCCCACACTGCCTTAGAGCAACTATCATAACCCGTTGCCGTCAAGTCGATTCCAACTCATAGGGACCCTACAGGACAGGGTAGAACTGCCCCATAGAGTTTCCAAGGGGCACCTGGCGGATTCGAACCACCGACCTTTTGGTTCGCAGCCGTAGCACTTAACCAGTACGCCACCAGGGTTCCCAAAGTATCCTAAAGAATGGAGAAAAGAACTTTGAAAGAGAAATTCTGCCCCAGTGTAAGCTGTGTAAGCTCCTGCCCCAGAGCTTCTGGCGGCCCTTCCTGCTGGCTTGCCCCATGACGGTGCATGCCAATCTTTGCAATAAGTCTCTGTGTATATATACAGGCAGTCCCCGGGTTACAAATATCCCATTTACGTACAAGCTGTAGTTACGAACAAACGCATAAAGTCTATTGTATTCTATGACGTACATTTGATTAATTGATGTTAGATATGAACTGTACCTAACTGTTCCAACTTGCATACAAATTTAACTTAAAGGTAGACTTAAGAATGGAACTTGTTTATAATCCAGAGAGTGTTTGTATCGTACTGGTTCTGTTAGAGGGGCCCTGGTGATGAAGTGGTTAAGTGCTCAGCTGCTAACCAAAAGGTCAGCAGATCGGACCCACCAGACGCTCCATGGGAGAAAAACGTGGCAGTCTGCTGGTGTAAAGAACACAGCCTTGGAACCTCTATGGGTGAGTTCTACTCTGTCCTATAAGGTTGCTATGAGTTGGAATCAAGTCAACGGCGATGGGTTTTTACTGGTTCTGTATCTCTGGAGGAATCCAATGGACATAGATTTTTTAGTTGCTGCCAAGAAGCAATAACTAGAAGGTACTGGAACATGTTAGGGGCTGTGTGCCCTTCTCTGGCTGCACGCCAAGCAACAGAGCCATGACCTGGGGGGATTATCCCATTGGCAAGATAAGCGCAGTGCTTACCTTGCTTACCAGATCCACCGCAGTGAACGATTTCACATTTTTTAAACCACATCAAAGATTCCACTTCTAAGTATGGCTGCGATCTGTGTCTCTCCCAACCCCACAGCATCTTCCTACAGAATCAAAGCCTCTTTTCAAATTTACAGTCCCTGACAGGGATGGACTACCCAGTAAGCAAGGTAAGCATAGGTGAACTTGTGCTTAGTTAATAATCTATAGCGAACAGCTTCACATGGGTTTCACTACGACTTTACAACGTGGTGAAAACCATGTGGAAATGTTTACTACAGTTAAGTATGTGGTGATAAGACTGGTTCTAGAGAAACAAAATTATAAAAATAAGTTTTCTAAATTGGTTCCCAAGTCTGGTTCGTCTTAAAGATGTTGATGACTCTCCTTCCGGTAGAAAAGAGGACACTGCTACTCCGTGGCGCGAGGTGGCAACAGAAATACAAAAAATACCATCACCAGTAGATGAGATATTGGTGAGACATGAGGCTCTAGGTGATCACGTGTTTCATATCTTTCTACAACTTTGTCAGAATAAGAAGTATAAGGAAGCTGGCTGGTTGGTCCTACTTTTGCTAGACAAAGTGGTAAAAGAAAGACATGAGCTCAGGGCTTCAGAGTCACAGCTCAAGTGCCACATAAATGACCTCAAAGTTTCTACTTGTGCCCTGCAAGAAAGCCTTATTTCTTGTAGTAAAGGAGTTGATATTGCTGAAAACCAAACCGAGTCTTATAAGACCAGCTGAATTACAACGCCAGTTAAATTCCCAACCTCAAGTGGTGTCCGAAGTTAAAGTAAGGGCATTGATTGGGAAGAAATGGGATCTTGAAACTTGGGGGTGGGGACATATGGGGAGATAATCAGGAAGCTGGGGATACTGAGCCTGAATTCCACATAATTACTCCTACCAACAGAAGCAGCCCACTCACTTCCATCTGAAGAGATTACTCAGTCTTTGTCTGCTAACCCACCCTCCCCAGTAAAACTGTCAGCCCCTCCACACTCATCTGATGAAATTAACCCAGCTGCGTCTAAACAGCCTCGTCTGAGTCACTGCCTGGGGCATCACCTGAGGCAGATGCCTTACAAGACCTTGCTGAATGTTCTCAGAACACATCCCTACCATCCATTTTGGCTTCTATAACTTGACTTGTCCTATAACTAGACTTAAGTCCCAGTGAGCCACAAAAGGTAAAGTACAAAGTTTGATCCAAGAGGAGGTACGCTACGTTCCAAAAGAACTGCTTGACTTTTCTAATATGTACAAACAGAAACCTGAGGAATATGTGTGGGAATGGCTATTAAGGGTGTGGGATAACGGTGCAAGGAACATAAAGTTGGATTAGTCTGAGTTTACTGATATGGGTCCACTAAGCACAAATCATTCATTCAATGTTTTAGCTCAAGAGGTTCCGAAAGGATCTAAGTTTATTTGGTTGGTTC